CTCACAGAGAGCCTGCGGGGAAGAGCAGCGAGGGACTCCCCACTCCCAGCACCCCAGGGACCCTCCCCAACCATGGAGACACCTACCAGTTCTTGTAGAAGCGCCGTCGGCACTCATCGCTGATGTGCTCAGCAAAAACAGTCTTGAAATTCCTCAAGCCCTTCGGTGTTTCTATGTACCCCACGACCCCCACCACCACCATCGGGGGGGTCTCAATGATGGTCACGGCCTCCACCTCCTCCCTCTTGGAGACCTCTGCAAGACAGCAAAGGGAAATGGTGCTCAGCATCGTTTAGGATCAGATCGTTCCCTGGAGCCACTCATGGCCTGTGCCACTACAGCGAGCAAGCAACGTGCTGGGGGCAAGGTCGCACTCTGCTCTCATGGCCAGCTTCAGCCCTTCCGTCTCCCACGGCCGCAAGCCCCACTGCAGGACCACACAGGATTTGGTCCCCAGACACCGAACAGGTCAAACCCTGCGGCCCCCCACGCTTCAACCCATCTTCCCCAGGCTGGGGGAAGCAGGACGCTGGAGGGTTCTTGCCCTGGAGTTTGGCTCCAGTCCTGAGGGCATCCCAGAGGGTAACGTTGTAAACTTCCTCAGCAAGGCGCTTCGAGCCCAGGATTTGTCAGGGTCCTTCTGCCAGCAGCACCCAACACACCACCAGTCACCACACCAGTGTGGGGACATCCCAGGAACGCCTGACTCAGCTCACGCTGGCCATGAGGCGGACGTCGGCCATCCAAGATCTGGACGGCATTACAGGAGGTAGCCCGGAAGCTATGTGCTCCACCACCCATTCCCAGGAGCAGCCTTTCCCACCACCAAGCCTGTTCCCTCGCTTCCCTCCCGGATGTGGCTCCCTGCTTCCATCAGCCAAGCCTTACTGAGCCCAGGCCTGTGCACCTCCCGCACAGTGTGTGTCATGCCAGCCTTGTAGCCCAGGAAAGCCGTCAGGTGGACCGGTTTGCTGGGATCATCCTTGGGCCACGTCTTCACCTTCCCTCGGTGGCGACAGCTTCTCTTATGAGGGAGGAAGCCGAGGTGGCCATGTCTGGGAGCAGAGAACTTGCGGTGGGACTGCGGAGAGGAAGAACAAAAAAGATCAGCTTCGCTTTCAGGTCCTCAAGACACCGGGACCCAAAGCACAACAGGAAATCTCCCCTTCAACATCAGTGAATGCTGGAGGCATTCTGGGGTCTTCTTCAGTTCGAAAAAGCACTCATAAAAGGATAGGATTGTTCAAGTTTCCATCATGTGCATGGAAGAATTTAGTCAGTTTCTGGACAAATGATGCCGATTAAATAAAAAAAGAAGCTTCAACATGATCTCCCTCCTTCTGCTTGAGGATTCTGAAGGAGAAATACATTCAACTTTAATAGGTCTGCCCTTCTGTGATGTTAACTATAATGACTTATTTTGTATTCTGCAGCACCAAAAGGGTCTGCTCAAAATTCATGCGCTTCGTGTCGTCAAGGCAAATGGCACCAAACAAGCACAGCTAACGATCAGAAAAAACAGGAAACGATGCCCAAAGGACTCAGTAACAAGAACATGCGCAGGTTAAATATGCACCTTGAAAACCAAATTAGCAGAGCTAAATATATAAACCCCAATCGCAAGGTCATGCTGAGCCAGGCAGAGCAAAGCAACGGCGCCTCGGAGACACGGGCGAGTTCTCATACAACTGGTTCCAAGGCAGGGGAGCCAGGGGTGAGCCCGAGCAGCGCAGGGTTAGATCCGCATCCCCTGCAGCTCCCTCCTCGCTCCGGGCAGCCCTGGCGCCCGGTTGCTCTTTGCACCGAGCCCATCTCCCGGCCCGAGCGGAGCTGTGTGGAGCCGGCCCTGCTCACCGTCCCTCCTCACGCAACCGAACGGCAGCGGTGCCGAGCTTTACAAACCATGGGACGTCTTCAGCCCAGGGCAGCCGCAGAACGGGGC